ACGTTTCTTTGGGTCAACTCAAATTAATCACAATCGCTCGCAGAACAAAATAGTGAACAGCATCAAATAAAAGAATGGTTAGAACTTTCTGTTGTCAATATTATTGTCTGTTATCTTCCCACATACTCATCGTCTTAAAGATAATTGGTGTGTGAATGTAAATATGAGGATGGAGTTTGCGCTTAAAGATGAGCAAAGATTGTCAGTGCAGTAAGCTCTCAAACGTACCAAGAGGACGTGACACTGGGCTTCGCGTACTTTGTCCTAAATTGGTCAATTAATTGCTTTCCAGTCAGAGAGAAGTGAACGGCTCTTGAGATTTCATCCATAAGTTGTTGAACGTCATCGCTCTGAATTACACCGGACTCAGAAAACCAATGAAAACGGCCTCCGGTCTCGTTGGCTAAAGACCTAAGAACAAGAGTTTGTTTGCAGTGATGGAGAGACTAATTAAATATCGTAAAAATCACCAAAAATATCGCAGTCATGCAACATTTGCCCATCTCGAATCCTTCGAAGTTTTACTGCATTCAAGAAACGATTGTACTTTAAAAGATAGCTTCTAAATTATAAGTGACTTACTAAATAATATGGTAAGTTAGGGTTAAGATTAACGTCAAGGTAAATGAGGGTCATATTTAGGGTTGTTTTTAGTTATGGGGTTGGGCTGTGATTAAAATTAGGTTAGGACATGGGAATATTCATCGTGCCTGGAATCGCGCGCAAGGCCATATTTTTTTTAAGTTCAGCGATGTTACCCATGTAAACATTCAGGAAGTCAAGTTAGGCAAACGAGCATTTTCGATTATTCACTATCAGGCAAATGCATTAATATAAGGGAGACTAGAATGAACGAAAGTGTAAGCAACCAATCAGTAATAAGTAAGGGAGAGAGGTGTTCGGGGATCAGTGAGTCAGATTTTAGTCAAAACAAGGGACCAGGGAGGGAAGAGTGGAAGAGTCCGAAATTAGTTCATGTCGCTCCCTCGTCGCTGTCTCGCGTCGTGCCGGAAGGCGTCAGGACGGGGACGAACTATGAACGATCAGATAATTAAAATTGCTCAAGGTCGCTGTGCGCTGATAGGATACTTTGTGTGAGCCTTT